AACTGACCGCCATCTGGAATTATTTCCCTATATTGACTCCGTGGTATAACTAATCACCATTCAGCTGCCCCGAAAGAATATATTTTGATACCAAACTCAATCATATTATGATAAGTGAATAAAAATTGGCATTTTCCAGTAAAAACTGGCGGTCATTTTGGATTTTTGCCAATTTGACCCAATGGGCACGGATTTCGGACTGGGACTTTTTTTGGGTGATGATATAGGTACATGTATAGACATGTAGCAACTGCCTGGAATGGTACAGTACGAAATTTAGTTAAAATGCCTGGACTATATGTCAGCAGTTCAAAATACGTACTTTAGATTTACAATTTGCAATTTCCATTGCTCCACAATACCAATGTCACAGTGTTAAAAATATATAATACACTTTTCAATAATACAAATACAGTATAATAGTTATTTTGCACATTATATTTCTCCATTTTGCATTATAGACAAATGCACAATAGAACCTAGCATATTACAACATACCTTATATGGGATCTACGACGAAGCTCATTTGCATATGTCAGTAGAAGGGGTAGAGATCAAGTTGGCATACAATAAGATAAATCGGCTTACCAAGCAATAAGGGCGACACTCAGCAAACCTCGGCAGATTCCGTTATAGAGCAGGAGCCCGGGGGTTCAACCTAGCTGAAAAGCTAACCAATTTCTATATGTGCCACTAGGTTCCCTATGGGTCACTGTCACAGGATATGAATGTCTGCCGCGCCTGTTGTGGTGGGTGTGGTCAACAGAGCCAAAACAATTGAACCCAAAAACTAAGCTAGACTAGCTCATTTACTAACCACATGAAACTTGTTGCAAAATATTCAGCATATCCACATTTATCGAGAATCACCGATGCCAGACATTTTCAGTGGTGGGGTACCCCCGCCAGACGTCCCTAATTGACCCACCCAAAAGCTAAGCTAGACTAGCTCGTTTACTAACCGCATAAAACTTTTTGCAAAATGTTCAGCATATCCACATGTATCACGAATCACCGATGCCAGACATTTTCAGTGGTGGGGTACCCCCGCCAGACGCCCCTAATTGCCCAACCCCCAAAGCTAAGCTAGACTAGCTCATTTACTAACTACGTGAAAATTGTTGCAAAATGCTCAGCATATCCACATGTATCGCGAATCACCGATGCCAGACATTTTCAGTGGAGGGGTACCCCCGCCAGACGTCCACAATTGCCCCACCCCAAAAGCTAAGCTAGACTAGTCCATTAACTAAATGGATGAAACTTGTTGCAAACTGTTCAGCATATCCACATGTTTCGCGAATCACCGATGCCAGACATTTTCAGTGGTGGGTTACCCCCGCCAGGCGCCCCCAAATCTAAGCTAGACTAGCTCATTTACTAACTGCATGAAATTTGTTGCAAAATGATCAGCATATCCACACGTATCAAGAATAACCGATGCCAGACACTTTATAGTGGTGGGGTATCCCCGCCAGATGTCCCAATTGCCCCACCCCAAAAGCTAAGCTAGACCAGTCCATTAACTAAATGCATGAAACTTTTTGCATATCCACATGCTCGGCTGTATGACGGTAAGTGAAATGTTATTCGGCTATACAAATGCGATGCGGCACCGGTTTAGTTATTAGAAATACTTGCCGCTTTTAAAAAGAAGTTATCAAAATTGCGTCGTTCGAAGCGTGTGTAGAATTTTTAGTGCAAAGTTGTCTTTGTAAAAAACTTGTTTGAAGAAAATCGGATAAACTTGAAAGAAAAACAGCTTTAGACTTTGAAATATTTGTATGATAAAACATTCTTCAATGGCGTCGTCATGGGCAACGCCGTTGGTAATCCAGGAGCTTGAAAATAGTTCCAATGACGGACTTCGTCATACAGCCGAGGCATGATGTAGGGTATTGGAATCTGCTGAGGTTTGCGGAGTGTAAGGGCGAATCAAACTAGCATGCATTAAGTAATTCGCTGGATGACCATGACTTCTGTGAAATCATGCGCTCGGTATGTCTAACCCGAGCCTTCGATAAGCATCAAATTTTAAAGGACAATATTGGTGCCATTCATTATCACATATCATATGTGATAGAGCTGGTTAAATACATTCCAAATATAATTTTATCTCAGAGATCATTGCTACGATAGCTGAGTAATACAGGTTTCCTGAATCGGAAGTGACGACCGCCAAAGGAAAACACGAGTCACCTCTCTATATAACTGACTGATGTGACGAATGATAACAGATATACATGTACGGGCGAATTTCTGCTTACTAATAATTCCTTCGAAGACCAAAAGTTGTTGTGTGAGACTGTGAGAGGATATCTGACAATTCATAAAAAGAATTGACTGTCACTAGATAAGTGAACACGAAAGAAAAACAGAAAAAGTCCGTGCATTACCATGTTTTTATAAGGTATAGAATGAATATAAACAAGGGAATGTACGGATTATTTCTATTTTTCTCGTGTTCTCTTATCTAATGACATTCAATTACTTTATTGAATTGTCAGGTATCCTCTTACAGTCCCATATAACAACTTTTGGTCTCCGAAGGAATTATTAGTGAGCAGAAATTCGCCCGTATATATCCGTTATCATTCGTCACATCAGTCAGTATATAGAGAGGGGACTCGTGTTTTCCTTTGGCGTTCGTCACTTCCGATTCAGAATAACTGTATTACTCAGCTCTCGTAGCAATGATCTCTGAGATAAAATTATATTTGGAATGTGTTTAACCAGCTCTATCACATATGTGATAATGACTGGCACCAGTATTGTCCTTTAACGTATAGGATATTATTAATCCTACCCGAGGTTGATATGATAGAGAAGATTTATATCTGACATATACAACGTCATAGTTTTAATCATAGTTTGATCGTTTTCCGAATGTCTACATGAATGAATACCGACCCTTACTGACAATGTCGATCGCGTAAATTATTAATTTCCGTCCTATATTAGGGTGACCCACCATAAATAAATATCTCCAAATATCTCGACAATTACGCCACAATATTTATATATATGCCAAGCCTCAAATCAGTTTCACACAATTATAGTCACTAAATAAACGATCATGTTGTACTTAATAAGCTATGACCATTAATCATCTATAAATAATAGACTGAAAACTGGTTCCAAGTGTCGTCCATAACACCCAGCCACTTTTGAGTAAAAGATAGGTTACGTGCCCTTGTTTTGAAATTAGTCTCGCTTAACCAGTCTATCGACCATTCTACGTCTGATTGACAGGTCGGGATAATCAAGACTACTTTTTTACGAAACATAACAGAAAGCTAGAACAAGAAATTGAATTTAGAAATAAGCACTTTAGACAACTCAACAATTGTTTTAAGAAACTTGTAAAAGTAAAATGAAACTACTGCTAGTATCATGTTCCTGCTAAAGAAAAGTGATTCAGGGATAGTATTTGTACTAAACCAAAAGAAGCCGCTCTTAAAGGTACAGTTAATGATAAAGCAATTTAAAAAATAAAACAAACGTAATTACTAAAGCTGTGTAATAACCAAGAAGCTAAATTTTACTGCTATTCAAAATCGTCAACAATAGATTTTTTACGGCTGTAATAGTTGATATATTTGTAGAGAATTGCACGTGCCATGGCTATTTATCGACTCAAAGAGAGTGCGGGGTAGTCAGAAATCAGTTTGAGACACGCAACTGAAGCGTGCACATTTAGCCGTGTCGAGACCAACTTTCTGTAGAGTCCACGGGTCACCCTACCTCAGGCTATATATATATATAGTCCGGACTTTTTTTCCGTATTCAAATGAGCTTCGTCGTAGAACCCATAAGCTATATGTTATAATACGCTAAGTTCTATTATGCATTTGTCTATTATGCAGAATGGAGAGATGTAATGTGCAAAATAACGATTATACTGTATTTTGTATTACTGAAAAGTGTATTCTGTATTTTAACACTGTGACAATGGTATTGTGGAACAATGGAAATAGCAATTTGTAAAATTAAAATAATTTGGACTCTTCCATTAAAAGTCTTGCTCGATAGTTTCCGCCAAATTACGAAAATTACCGAATTAATCACGTGAATGCATTGTTTGTACTGTCGCCATTTTGGAGTGGATATAAGTGCAATTGAATTGAAAGCAAAAACAAAATGGATAGTAATACGTTATCAGACGAATAATCAATTATTTTTAGCCAAAAGATTGACGGTGGAATAGATGTGAATGCAAATTCCGACGAGGATCTGCTGCTAGTCAAAGGCTGAAGAAAATTTGAATCAAAAGGCAGTCTTTTCCGATAATTCTGACAGTGAACCGTGAAGGTTTTCGGTATGTTCTGAGTGTGTGGAGAAATAATCGAAATGTGGACGAAAAGAAAGATATCTTTGACATGGATAACCGATCTAAATACGCCGTCTATTTCGGTGCTGAATGCTACAAACGGTCAATAAAATAATTACTTGTCAAAATAATAAAAATTTATTTCTGTGTATTATTTGTATTATTTCCATCATCAACGTCATCAGCGGTTGATATGAACCGAATATATCAACCTGAGATGACGACATGGCAGGTTGATATTTCACGACGTCATCAGAGGTTGATATGAACCGAATATATCAACCTATGATGACGTCATGACAGGTTGATATGAGATATAACTGCTATGCACATCAAAGAAAAAACTACCGCTAGTTGTATATTTCATAACTAACGCCCCTCCTTCACTTCAACTTTAATCTTTTTATCTCTTTTGTTCAAAGTAGGGACCCACGGTGGCTACGTGGATACGACGTTGAATGAGGTCTCTAGATAATAATATATAGAGGTTGATATTTTTAAAATGTTCAAAAATGTATTTGAACACACTTTATATATTTTAAGTAAATATTGTGAGAACAATCGGCTAAATTTTACTCAAACTTTCATTAAACTATCTCTATATAAGCCATGAATTAGACGGCACAATAACTGTTGACTTGTGAATGTGTACCGACTGATATCTACTAACCTTGTTCTTGTTTAAATCACAAATTGTAGTTCGTCTATTCATAGCAATTCTCTCCCTGTCTCTCTTCTCCCCTTTTGCATGCCGATTTTGTTGATTTTTTGGTCTAGAATGGATGAAGAGGGTTTGAAATAACATTTTCTGCCAGGTTTTGGTAAATATTCATGATTTTGAGGCGGAAGGATAATGGGGTTATCAGGTTGGCTACGGTGACATGTACGGCAACTAGTTACATGTTTTTAGTATGCTTCTTCAAGTTTGTGTATCTCAAAATTTTGGTGGTCAACCTCATACAAATTTTAGTGCAAATACATGACCATTTGTTCCTCTGTCTGTAGTGAAAAGCATTCAGCCCAACGAAAATTTTGGGAAAATTGGAGGTGGGCAAAGAGGCCAGAATTAATATTGAAGTCAATGGGGAAATTAATGGTGGCCTGCCTCCTTGTACTATTCGGAATACCTATTTATCTCCCAGCTGTCTAGTCGTTCGGGTGGAACGAAAACCCGAGGTCCCGTGTATACATTGGTATGCACGTATAACATCCATTGGCAGTTGGAATTAATATAAGAGTGGGCCATAGTGCGTCTGCCCGGGCAAAATTTGCCTCATAGCAAACACTACGGCATATGCCCGCCTTCATTAGCCCAGTCGAAGCAGAACAATAGGCCATTAAACACCATTTTATTTCAGTTTTTCAAAGTATGTAAATATAAATGTGCCAGAAGATTAAATATTTGAAAAGAGAAATCAACGTACTTTTTAGTGATAAGTAACGGTATGTTTACTTGAAATACCCCCACCCCCGTCATTTAATAGAGTTTTTCTTTCCTGACAATGACAACTGTATATCTGTCGGACGGGACGAAAAAAAACGAGATCCCGTGTACACATTAGCGTGCACGTAAAAGATCAATTGACAGTTGGAATTCGATACAGGAGTAGGCCGTATACAGCGCCGCTGTCCGGGCAAATTTTCCCCATATAGCACATTGCATGGCGTATAGCCCGTTTTCATTAGCCCAGTCAGAGCAGAACAGTAGGACGTTAAACCCCATTTAATTCCATTTCATTAATCGTTTTCCGAAGGTCTACATGAATGAATACCGCCCCTTCTACTGACAAGGTCGATCGCGTCAAGTATTAATTTCCGTCCTAGTCCGGACTTTTTTCCCGTATTCAAATGAGCTTCGAATCGTCGTAGATCCCATATTAGGTATATGTTATGATACGCTAAGTTCTATTATGTATTTGTCTATTATGCAGAATGGAGAGATGTAATATAATGTGCAAAATAACTATTATACTGTATTTTGTATTACTGAAAAGTGTATTCTGTATTTTAACACTGTGACAATGGTATTGTCATTGTGGAACAATGGAAATAGCAATTTGTAAAATTAAAATAATTATTTTGAACTGCTGACATATGCACTTTGCACCGTGAACATTGAAATAATATTGGCAAAGTTATCCTACCGTACAATATGGCAGAGCGAATTTTCCTTTCATAAAAATCGGTTATTTTTTGCTTATAGACCATTTCAAGACCCCCCCGTTAACGGCCATTGAGCTTATTTAAAGTAAAAATATTACATTCAGATTATTTCACAGGAGGGTTGTCTTTAATGTAAACTTATCTACTCACCGATATTATACATTAGTTATTCCTTATCTCAGAAATGTAATCAGCATAAGCTCCCGTAAAACATAATATATAAGATATTACTCTCTATCAGTATAAACAAAATCCTTTGTTGGTTATTCCGTTTAAAGTGTCCGGTTGCATTGTTAACAACCAGAAATACCCTACCCATTCACAAGTTATACAGCTGTTGCCCACTTCTTAAACACTTCAATATATTTAACATATTTCACAACAACATAATATTGATTAATCTGACTCAGCGTTACTATACATAGAACTATAATACAAAAAGTAATACACTTAAAGTAATACAATTAAAAAAAAAAAATTATTAATAATCAAAGTTTTGCTTTTTTAAATAGGATGTCATTCTTAAATGAAAATCTGTCACTACTGGTTTACTGCCCTGTTGTTGGTTACCTGTCGACGCTCAATTAAAGCACTAACGTACTCTGTACAGTTGCATTTTAACATTATTATATTTTAATCTGGTTTTAACCTTACCAGTATCTGGTCTGTAAACAAATTAACAAATTCAATTTTCCAGACAAAATGTATTTACCCAATTCAGCGAATATTTCCACCAACAAAAAATGTTCTTCCACCAGATTTCGCTTTGTTTTTCCACCAATATTTTTCTCCACCAGATTTCTTTTTTTTTTCCACCAGATTTTTTTCTGTTTGTTCGGGTTTTCGACTTCCAAAGTTGCTGCTTACCCTATAAAGGTCGAAACTGGGTACGGCACCAAATAGAATATGGAGGACCATGGTTCTTCTGTCAGACGTGGAGAGCGGGCGTCGCAAAAACGGTCGCCACATCCTACTTATGACCCATGCATCTTTTCTTACTACATATCTTAGTAGCCTTGTGATCGTCTAGTATTTTCACCTGTCGTCTTTCTTCCCCTTCACGTTGTGTATTTACTTCTTACTGTTTTCTTAAGACGTTTGTCTTTCCAGGAATAAAAATGCAACAGTTCGTTTTTACATTTTATATATCACAACTGCTTACATATGGTACAATGCATAATAGAATAAAGTGATTCTCTCTCTCTCAAACCTCATCCAGTCAGACTCGCTCGGCGAGTCTGCTGATAGAAATTGCTACATCTTTCCCCTTCTGGGATCAAACTGATGTCCATGCAAGAACTCAGATGGTAATCTCTCCGGAATCTAATGAAAACCTGTCTTAAAAGTTTACCATGATTTCTTTTATGGGACTCATGGATATAACGCACAGAATAAGCTATCGGTACTCATGACCCTGAACCTGTGCAATTACTGATTATGATTGGTTACTTTAGCCAAATGATGCAATTAGTAAATTTCCAAGCACGTGTAATCTATGATATCCTTATTCCCACAAAACCAGCTAATGTTTACCAAATTATAACTCTTTTTAATGTAACCATCTGTCATTCATTCACTAAGTTGATTTAAGTACATACTACATATATGTGAATCTACTAACTTGCCAAAGACATTAATTAATGAAATATAATGCCACCATTAATTTCAAGAGCAAAAATTATAAAATATTAATACACGATTTAAATGCTTTGGGCGTATGTTTCGTTGCCTGGCAACCTATGTTTTAACTCTAAGAAAATACGATAATATTTTAACCTTGCTTTAATAACTTTACTCATGTTACTATGTATTTGAAGTTTATAAATAAATAGAATTACATACAAAGTGGTACATTTCTTTAAAACCCCTAATAGTTCACGTATTTGCAACACTCTTTTACTTAAGTGTTCAAAAAACGCAATTTAACAAAATTTAACTTTTAGTTATTTTACATTGTAGAAACCACATCTAAAGTCTATAATAATGATTGGTTATATTTTATCATTTGTAAGGAGCCCCTGGACACATTGGTGAAAGTATGAACAACAAATATGGTGGAATAATAAAGATAGGTTGCCAGGCAACGAAACATACGCCCACAGCAGCTATATTGTCTGGGCAGTCAACAAGAGTTGTCGCATATTTTTACTTTTTTTCGGTAATGAAACATTTTTAATACATTAAAATCTGATTAAGAGTAATAACTTATTAAGTAATTATCAGAAAACCATTAGAATTTGTTTGGACGGACGGACGGACGGACGGACGGGGGCGACAACAATATACGACCACATTTCAATGTGGGCGTATAAAAATGGCAATTAATGTATTTAAAAAATAGCCATGCAAAGCATGGAAATACGTCCACACAGCAGCAATTTGTCTCAAATAAGTAATCACAGACAGCAGCTTATCTGAGAGAGAGGGGGGTGGGGGTAACGCCCAGTCAAAACAAACTTTCGTAACTAACATATGAGCGTAGCGGCCTTTTAGCAGTGGGAGGAAACCTGAAGACGAGGAGATTACCAATGGGGATGGACGGGCAACCAGAAACCTTGTCATGAACAAGATGGCAATCGAAACCACACCACTTGACTCAATGGCAGACCCTATGATCTAAAGTGCGCACATTAGAACCACTATTCTATTCCACTTAACCCATATAGGATTTGTCATGTTTTATTTATTTTGTTGGGGGGGGGGGGCAGACGAACCCTGGAACCTGGAAGATTTCATTACCAAACCAAAAATAATAATTACGAACCAGTGTTATTTCGATGAAAGCTGTATTTAGGGGTAATATTACGACGATATCGAAAAATTGATAGCTGCGATCGGTCAATTAATGGCCCTTCAGAGGGAAGATACTCACACGTAACTAAGTAAGGCCAGCGGTCATCCATTGGCTGTTTTCCAAGGGTAATATCCTACAGCATTTCCTACAGCCTTGAAAGTTATTGTCTATTTTCTAGCTACTCTAAATCACAGTAAAACAGAAGCAAATTTAAGCCAACCCCTGTTTTGAACATTTTGTACAAACCTATCTGCTGTACATTATTATCTCAGTGTTACCAATTTTCAATTTTCTGTAGGAAAGCTTGGGCTATTTCTAAACCTGACAAACTTGTAGATCCCATTTAAGTTATATTAGCAATGAAAATAAGGGCATTTTGACTCATTTGAGTAGTTATGAAAGGATTAATTTCTACATCGAAATGGGGGAATCTAAAGATTTTCTGTGAATATTCCTGATTTTTAGACAAAATTTGGTAAAATTACAATACTGTTCACTGTGTCTGTGCCTTCTGGCTGAATAAGCTAAAATTGGGCATTAAATTAAATAAAAACTGAAAATTGAGAAATTTGCAGTAAAATCACAATTTTTCTCCAAACATGTTTTCATAATAGTTTAATCTTCATATTTTCAAAACTAAGGCACATCAGTCTCAGCCTGTCACACATAGACAGGCCACAGATCACTAATGATTTCCCCATTGACTTTAATGTTTCTGGTCTCTTAGACCGGCTCTAACTTTTCCCCAAATTTTCGTTGGGTAGACCGCTTTCTACCACAGATGGAGAAACATGCGGCAACCTCTTGCCCAAAACACGTATGAGCTTCACCATGGAAAACTTGAGATACTCAAACTGGAAGTAGAGACACGTAAACATGCAATTTTTGACCCTACATTTCAACCTAACCAACCTCTCAACTCTTGTATCCTTCCGCCTCAAACTCATGAATATTCACCAAAACCTGGTATTTAACATAGGAACAGAAGGCTGCAGATTATGAATATCAATTAGGGATCGATGAACCCAATGCTTGAAGCCAAATATGAAAAAATCTATTAAAAACGTTTGTCTTTATCGCGTTCACAAGGTTTTAACCCCGGAACGGAAAGTCGCAGAACGCTTAATATCGATAGGGTTCAATCTCTTATGACCTCAATGTTTCCCACCAAATCCGAAAGAAATCCGTATAAAACTATAACCGGCTTAACACCAATTTTTTTTTATAAAAAAATCTGTTTTCGACAAAAGGGGGGGGGGGGGGAGTCGAAGACCGTTGAATATCGATAGAGTTTGTCTTCTCATAACCCCAATGCTTCAAACCAAATCTGAAAAAATCTGTTAGATACTATTGCCTCTATTGTGTGAAAAACTGTAGCCTATATCGCGTTCACAAGGTTTTCGGTAAAGGGGGAATTACAACGGACCGAAAACTTGTGGAGAGTTGAAAATCAACAGGGTTCGTTCTCTAATCACCACAATGCTTTGATAACAAAATTGTTAAGAAATGTAGCCTCTGTCGCAATGTTTCCGGAATAGGGGTTAAGGGGGCGGGGACTCAGGAACCGAATGTCGTAGAACGATGAATATTGACCAAATTTAAAAAGAATCTGTCGAAAACTATCGTATTCAAAAGGTTTTCATGACGACAATATTTCACACCAAGTTTGAAAAACATGTCGAAAACTATCGCATTCACAAGGTTTTCGGAAAAGGGGGCATAGTAGGACCGAAAAGTCCTTTTATTCTAAATCGTTCAAACAGATCACGATACTGCCTTGTCTGTCCATCACACTTTTTGGGACAGAGAAAGGGTTTAACGTCCACTCGACACAAACTAAGTCATTTCGGGACTAAATGGTTCAATTTTATTTCAATAATTTGCTAGTGCGTAGGGGTCTTTAGCAGCGGGAGCAAACCAGAGGTGCCGGGGAAAACCGAGGTTGGACAGGCAACCCGACTCCTTGTCCCGTACAACCGGGGATTCGAAACCACGCCAGTTGACTCAATGACAGACCTTATGACAGTGGACCACAAACCCTTTAAAATCCTTAAAAAACACTATGTGATATTATTACTATTATTACACATTTCTGTAGCGCACATCTGACATATAAATGTGCTCATTACAAAGACATATGATAGATCAAGACAATATTACATATACATAAAAAAAACGCGAGATAACAAAGAGCATAATTGATAAAATATATAAATAAAAATTTAAATAAAATAACATGTAATTAGAAATTAAAATAGCTCTGGATAATCTATATAAAAGGATCATTGGGTAAAAGCCCTTTTGAATAAATATGTCGTTAGTTTAGTTTTAAAAGTAGCAATAGCAGTGACATTACGAATTTGAATTGGTAATTTAATCCATAACAGTGGTGCTTGTACATAGAATGACCGGTAACCATATGATGATAAATTATAGGAAATGAAATGAAATGAAATGGGGTTTAACGTCCTACTGTTTTGCTCCGAACTGGGCTAATGAAGACGGGCATACGCCATACAGTGTGCTATGAGGGAAATTTTGCCCGGACAGCGGCACTACGGCCTACTCTTATATCGAATTCCAACTGTCAAGGGATCTTTTACGTGCACCCCAATGTGTACACGGGACCTCGGTTTTTCGTCTCATCCGAATGACTAGACAGCTGTCCTTATCAGGCCCTCCGTCCTGCATCACTGACAAGGGGGAACCACGCCGGAAATAAATAATAGGATTGTTGTATAAGTAATGTTGTGTCAATTAAAAAGAAGAAAACAAATTAAAATCATGGTATTCGGCATGAGCCATTTGTCCAGTATCGTTTTCAGAAATCTGGGGCTCTTTTACTATACTAGGGAGCCTTGCCCCCGGAGTATCCATATTCATATTTTCTCTCCTGATTCGACATTTTCTTTCCGTTTTCATATTTTCAGCACCTCACAATATTTTAACATGAACACAATTGATAGACTGAAAGCAAAAGTGAATAATGCGCAGATAACCTATGTCGTTAAAGTAGCGATGCGTCATTGGCATTTGTCGATAAAATATCATATTTCTTATAGCCTATAATCCACGTTAATGTGTACCCAGATTGATTATTTAGCAATCAATTTAGAAAAAAAAGTCAACATACCAAAGTCAGATAATGTCCCAGCTTCGATTCAACGGATTGAAAACAGGCCTTTCATTAAATTCTCGTGGAGTTTGCAAGTGATTCCTATTGCTGAAAATGGAGAATCGGGATTTAGTTTTTAGGTGTAAACAAAATCAACGTTACTATATTTGATCTATATACAATACAACTTTCAAAACCAACTTTAGGTCACGAACATCCACGCCATTAATACAACTTTGCACATCCCCAAATCCACTATATCCAGGTAGGGTGGTTTTTTTCTAAAAAGGCGCTGTCTATACGTCAAAAGATTACCGGGGTTGGGTTTTAAAAGAAGGTGTATATATAATTTTAAAAGTTATGTTTATTAATAAATTTTCAAATACATAATCATTTCTTTATACAACAGGTGTACACATATTAAAACATGGTTAATGTGATCGTATTTTCTGGTGTTAAATAAAATGTCAAGGCAGTCTTACTATAAAAGCTGTGTTTAAAAGATACATGAACACATAAACAAACTATTTTAACAAAGGAATGAAAGAAATCGCCTTGGTAACATCAATAACATTACAGTCAAATGGACGCTAAGAGTTCTCAAGTATTAAATTTTGTTAATGTGACGTCAAGAGTTATTCATTTGAAACTTGTGTAAACCTTCTGTAAGAACAGCATTAGATATACCATCAGCTGCGTGTATACACGTCACTCCTGAAATGTAATATTCTAAATATAATATGACATCACTAATGTAATCAACGGGTTATAGGGCCTCCTCAGTGCAGTAAAGGTAACAATACTCTGAGTCTCAGGTCCGTGGCTCAAACCCTGTTGTGGGCCGAAAAGGGGCATCAGAATTGTGCCCAGTCTATCGAATGGGACAAGAAACGTGTACACAGTGACGTGGGGGTAACATTTTAAAGATGGATTTCTATGGGACAATAACACATGTACGTACACGTTGGCGTGCACATACAATAACCTATCAGAAATGGCATTCACAGAAAGGTTTTTAAAAATACCAACACAGACACAAAATGACAAATACGTGTACGCATTGGCGTGCGCATAAAAGACAATTTTTGGTTTCAAGAAAACCAGAGGAAACGTTTGGGCGAGACAAATGAACATTTTCTTGGTGTAGAAAGGGAGATAACACATACATAAACTGACAAATAACATAATTTATTTCATGAGTAAATATAGTTTTATACCAACCTAATTTCCCTACATCTACGATATTTCGCATTTCGTCATCAAAGAAAAGCATGTCCTTATATGGAATACCACTCTTGTTTTGAAATCTGTTGAAAAATGGATTTAAAAAAAATAATGACAGTTGTCAAGATTTAAAGGGTAATGGCAAAACCAGCATGAATAATGGATGGGGGGTGGAGGGGATTTAAATTTATATAGCTTCTGAGCTTTTGTCTGAACCATCTGAGATATGGAAACTTGAAGCCTGTTTATCAGATATTCGTAAATGGATAAACTACTAAAATCTAACAGAGAAAATTATTAAATTGACAATATCTCTTTTAAAGTGGCATTATGGTAGGTTAGATAAAGAGCTGGCAGTTTTCACTATAATAGTTAAAAACTAGATAATGTAAAGGAAATTTGCTGAAAATTTCAGTCAAATTGATCACTCTGAAACAAGATTTTAGCTCATGAAATTTAGGCCTAGCCTCAATCATCATTACTAAAGTCGGTACGATAAAAAAACAAAGTCTCAATTATTCATTTTAGGATTAAATCACCAATGAGCGTTGAGCAGCAAATCGGATTCAAATCCAGTAAATATCGCAGGCTAGCGATGACATCGAGAGTTGATTATGGCTGGATAGGTTAATTAATGTCTAATTAATAATTTAGATAACATTTCAGGCCTAAAGAAAGTAGACTGCTCTTGCATAATGTATGTTTTAAACAAACAGGTGCTGTAAAAAATCTTGGTGTTTATTTTGACTCTAATCTGGACATGAATAAAGAAATCTCGGCCGGGTGTAAAAGTATTAATTTTCAGATTTATAATATTGGAAAACTTAGATCATTCAATGATAGGGATACGACTAAAATGATGGTAAACACTATGGTTTACATCAAGACTTGACTATTGTAATTCAGTTTTGTATAATCTACCCGAAAATAAAACAAGCCAACAGTGAGGCTGATGTCCCCTGTCGAAACGAAATCCCAAAATAAATAGATGACACATATTAATTAATAGCACATTTATTTTGTTCAAACGTATCAAACTGATTATCAACTATACACCAAATTTCATCACTCTCTATCAGATAGAATCAAAGTTATCTTGTCCCAAAGCATCGACCAATGAAATTGCTTAGCTCTGCTTAGCTTTAATTCGAAATGTTAATGATTGAACTCAAAGACATTCACCTAACGGACCCTCAGCAGAAAATACTCATTATCGAACTTAGTCAAGGAATTGATGTAATGAAACTATACACCAAGTTTCATCACTCTCACTTAATTAGAACTAAAATTATCGTGTCCCAGAGCATCAACCAATCAAATTGCTCATCTCTGCTTACCCCAAGCAGAAAATGCTCATCTTCGAACGGGAGGATGGCCAAATGGTTAGCACGTGCGCGCTGTATCATAAGTTCTGTCATTGAGTCAACTGGCGTGTTTTCGAATCCCCGCCCATTTGTACGTAACAAGGAATAGGGTCGCCTGTCCAGCCTCGTGGGTTTTCTCCGGGTCCTCCGGTTTCCTCCCACTGCTAAAGACCCCTACGCGCAAGCAAATTATTGAAATAAAATTGAACCATGTGTTAGTCCCGAAATGACCTAGTTTGTGTCGAGTGGACGTTAAAGCCTCTCTCTGTCCCAAAAAGTGTGATGGACAGAGAGGCAGACAGACAGACAGACGGCGAGAGACAATTAAACAACTTCATGTACAACTTTATGTACTTTTTAAATGATTTTGAACTCCAGCAGTGACTAGGTTCGAAATAAATTGCATATCATGGTTGATAAATGTCCATACACTTGTGTGACCGTGTAGATATATGTGTACGCATGCGGTTGCTATGCTTGTTTATGTTGTCATTTCAACGCTGTGATTTTCTTTTCTTCGCAAAAAACAATGGCCTGTGAATGAAAATTAGTCTCTGTCCTATTCATATCAGTATCAGCCCCACTTGTATATTTTTTTAAAATATATCTCAATCAGTTATTTACGGTCCATACAGAGTTCAATAAATTGTAGTATTTTTATGCACTTGTTGAAAATCTTCGATTTTGACCAGTCTGATTATGATAGAATGACCTTAGCAACCATTATTGTCAGACCAGCCTTGAAATGAAATTTACTTATTATCTTTCAAATACACTCACTAACTTTGTTTTTTTTGTGTGTTTCAGGTGAGTGTTTCATTAAGCCAATGGTTGAATTTCATTGTTGATGACATACAAGAAAAAATTCATGAAGATTTCCTAGAATAAAGTTTTGAGGTGTAGAATTCTTGGCCACTGCAAACAGAGTCTAGCACCCAGAAAATATTCATTCGCAGTGAGTCGCCCAGGAAATTTAGAGGACTGTTATACTCATTCGACGCCACTTTTCGACCAATCAGAATCAAAGAAATTTCCATTTTGGGCTACAATGGTTTATCACTGTTGTGATTTTCTTTATTTTTTTGAAGTTGTACTTAGAGTTGAGTTGTAGGTGCTATACAAATTACATAACTATTGCCTGAAGTGTTATAAAAAGAAATTGCGAGTGTACACATGGACCAGAAACTATCACTCATCGCGGCCATCTTGTAATTGTGACAGTCCGTCAATCAATGCGCATTGTTCAAGGATCAATCACACCAAGTTTCATGTGATACTTGAATTAGCGAAGCCCCAATTATAAAGAACAACAAAATGAGTAACGCTCGGGGCTCAGTTCCCGGTCCTTCGTATAAACACAAAATCTTACTGTTGAAAATGGTTTATTTTATTTCCTGGATAGACTTCTTTATATTTAAAATATTTGTCCCAATCAAACAGTTCCACCAACTTGTGAGCTTCAGGTGGGGTTTGTGTTCTGGAAATAGTATAGTTTGGTACAAAAATATAACCAACTACATTATAAGTATTTGATAATATCATTAAGTTTCTGAATATTTTAATGCCATGATGGAATCTTTACGATTTTAAAAAGAAGACAATTAAAATATGTAATGTATCTAGGACAAATAATAGATCCTCCATTGGCTTCAAATACTGTCTATACAAAAAGGGCTGACGATTATGGGCTCTATCTTGTATTTGAGATTTAAAAAATGTGTGGGTATTTTCCAAACTTACCTTGATGCTACACCTAAAGTATATCCGTCATTATGTAACCTATGTAACATACCAGGCACATCTTTATAATACTTTATTAGTTGTTGATCACGATCATAGACTTTACCATCTCTGAAATAATAGTAAATGTAAGGGTGTTAGTCATGCCTACCCCTAGTATTAGTAGCAGCAACAACAGCAACAAGTTACACAAGGGAATCAACCAAAAGATCAGAATAAGACTTAGAGATAAATAATGTTAGAGACTTTTGTTTATGTGATAATCAATTTTAGCACCAAGACTGATAATTAGAAAGGGGAGTCAGAAGAGTCCAGGACTATAGGGCTACTTGGGGATAAGTGCGACTGGAGATATTTCAGTATTTATTATTGTAGACACAAGAAATTGTATAGTTCGATAAAACTTTGAGGGCATAGTCAAGGTATTGAACTATTAATGTAAGGGAAGCCAAGTACCCGATTGAAATAGAATCAAATTGTTTATCTCTGCTTAGCCTTACTGGAAAATGCTCACCACCGAATGCAGTCAAGACATTCACATTATGAACATCTACAACAGTTTACTCTAGTGAGAAGCAGGGTTATTATGCTCCAAAGTCTAAGCCAATCCAATTGCTTATCTTTATTTAGTATAAGCTAAAAATCTTCGTCATCGAACTTAGTCAAGGTATTGACGCAATGTAACTCTACACCAAATGCTATCACTCTCACTCAGTTTGAATCAGAGTTATCTATTCCAAATCATCGGCAAATCAGAAAATGCTCATGATCGAATTTCGTCAAGGCATTTCCCAAAGTAATTCCTACACCAAGTTTGAACATTCTGCCTTAATAAGATAGTGTGACAGACAAACTGACAGAGGTGAGAGGATCAAGCCCACTTTAATAGTCCCTGACTTTCTTTGAAAGGCGGGAGGACAAAATACACGTTTAGAGTAAAACTACAAATAAAAAATGTGACTTACTTATGTTTGTTGAACGGTGGAGAGACATGTGCATCAACCCAAAATGGCCACAATGTATAATCTGAAATATTTGTTTCAAAAGGTTATTGTTTTATTTGTTGATTTCATTAAATAAATAAATGCTCGTATACCATTGTTCCTTACATGTAATACAAAATATAGATAGATGAGTTATGACTACAGTAAAATAACAGACTAAAACACAGAACAGCACATACAATCTATATATCAGTGTTAATGCAGAGTCAAAATTAATCATAATGTCAACATCAATAACAAATGTGAACCTACCACATGATAATATCTATGTCAGAGATTAGTTCATCAAGACCCTGCCTCGTGATACAACCATAATATAGAACATAGTAAACGTCGTTCGAAATTTAAAATATTTGAATGATTTGAGTTAACCTTTAAATAAATAGTCACAAAAAAAAGTTGTTTTAAAAACATCAAAAATCCCTTCAACTTACCTAAATCAAAAACAATTAACTTGGGCTTGATCTGTTGAGACATAGTAGTTTTATGCATCAATTCCAAATTCCGTGGACATCTACCTTGACTGTGTATTATACAAATCAATAAATGAATACTTGTATAATTCAATAGATATTAGCATGCATTTCTATTAATTACGTGAATGGGGAGAAGATTTGTTTATGCCATAACTGAGTTGCAGCTTTCTATTTCCATAGTATAACAAATAGCTAATTGCTGATCTAATCTCGATTATACCTTCTTAAATCAATACTGTTTATTAATTCCATACTCGAATTTAAACATTTCAAGGCATGGAATTCTTGCTGCCACTTGTGGTCTAAAATTAAGACAAGAGTTATAATTGCTATATATCTCTTTAATTTTGGTCCGAATATTATGACATTGATTAAGTTTGTGGGATGTTAAATAAACCAGTGTTGAGATTAAACAATATTGTGTTCGACACACCGTAGGCCAAAACTTAAACTAAATTAGTAAGCAAATAGATATATTCGATATCTGTTTAATCTTTGAAAATAAAAACAGAATCGTATATAGAGATAGACCCATTACTTATTACATATCGAAATAGCACATAGGGCTAACCCAATTCCTTCCTTATAAATCAAAATGTTGGAATAGAAATGAAAAATTGGGATAACTAAATTTGATGGTTTGATACCAAAACCTGTTTGAAATAAAATGGTTACGCCTGTAGATTGAGTCTTTGCCGAACTAGCTACTACTAGTACCGATTTACTGTTGAACTGACAGTTTTTGTCCAAAACGAAACAGTAGGCTAATTAACCGTGGTGATATCGCTTCCGCATTCCAAAATATATATTTTGATAGTAGTAACCGGTATGGTATAAAACATTATGAGTGCTTGAAAAAATATTTAATACAAATTTACGGCCCCATGAAAGATGGCAGTCAATTTTACAATCCATTTAAATGGATAGCCAATATCGTATATCATGAAATATAAAGCACGTAACGAGGGCATTTTTTTAATGATTTTTTTTATTACCCTGGTATATGAATATTGTCGCTTCGACTGTGCTTGCTAACTTCATTTCGAATCCGGGTGCTGGAGTGGAATGGGAGTTTGAGGTTTAATATTAGTAAAACGATTCCGGCTTACTGAACCATAATATAAAATAAATAAAACGTCAGATCAATTCATCATTTTGGCGTGGTTTATTTTAAAGCTCTGTACTGTGAGCACTGATCTCTGAGCTAGTCCCTGTCGAATAGAAAAGTAGCCTACATACATCGAGGGAAACCAAGCTGATTCGGACCATGGCTGATTCGGGCCAAAAGTCAAAGTTGTTTCGGACCAAATCTCAGGCTTATTCGGACCACCACTAGGCTGATTCGGACCACTAAGATGCTGATTCGGACCACACGATAAAAATTACTAGAAACTGAGATTTTGATATTGAATTAAGTTTAAAGGTTTTTTTTCTAGGCTATAGCGTAACTATGTGCTTTTATGTACGCTATTTATGTTTATAAATACTCCATATTTGTTTGGTCACGGCGACTGTAATAACAGAGATTATCTCATTTTAATGAAGATTAAAATCTTATGTAAATCATTATACGTTTTATGCAATTTAAACATGCCATTTTTATTTTATTTTATAAACTCCATAGCTTGTTACTGAATCCATTATATATATTGTGTGTAATTATATGTTATAGAAATACTGTTTAAATCAATTTATGTTAATTTCAATAAGTCATACAAATTTGAAAACTAATACTAGCAATACAGTAGCATAACGGAAATCCGAATCCATTATATAAATATTGTGTGTAATTATATTTTATAGAAATACAGTTTAAACAAATTTATGTTAATTTCAATAAGTCATACAAATTTGAAACTAATACCAGCAATACAGGAGCATAACGGAAATCGGTTATTTCGAATATGATGTATATAAAAACAATCAAAATGTTTATCCTACCTTGTTCAGAAAATAAACATAATATATTTATAGACTCCATTTTAACACAAGTAAACAGGTAGCATCGTGGAAAATGTACTATATTACTGCATGAAAATTACTCAAATCTTACTGACAGCCACAATGGTTAAAAGATGTACCAAATGCTAAAGAATGGGGCATTTAGAGAAATTCTGCAGGAGCTTAGCTATCTGCGGTAAATGTGGAAATACCCGCAAAACAGAAGATTGTATAGGGCCGCACATCCAAAATGTGTCAACTGCAAGGTGAATCACGGGGCTGATTCGCCGAAATGCCCCAAATATTTAAATACCAAATCCATTCTAACCATGCAATACACGCATGGAATATCCCACAAAGAGGCAACGGCGCATGTGAGCAACAAAACCGAGCCTCAAAAAGCAGCGGAAACCACTACTCCCAGCAGGGAAGAAGTTGTAAAAGATTTCGACAAATACTACACCCCAATTTAAAAGTGCAGAAGACTTTGCCCGCTTAATTCTGTCGAGACATCGCTAGATTGGGTTCAGTTGGAGGTAGAACAAAGGAACACCGAAATAGGGAAGACCATACTGAGCTATGTGTCGAATATTTCGTACACGGAAATTTAAGTACGAAAGGGAAACCTTCTCAAGCAGAGAAGGACTCGGCTAAAAATAAAAATACAATGCCCCCTCCCACCACACCAACTTCAAAAGATAGAAGTAGAAGCCGGTCAAAATCAACCCCAAAGAGAACAATGGAAAGAGTTGTTTCTGAAGAGGAAGAAAATTCACTCAGGCATAGAGTAAATCCCATGATTACGGACAAAAAGTGTAGGTAATAGCTACGAGGTATTATAAGCGAGTCAATAATACTAAAACAACAAATCATTGTCCATTACAATGGCGAAGCCAATCACGACATTACAACTCAATGTAAATGGGTTACAGCCTCGCTTAATAGAACTCAAACAATATGTCTATAAAAACAATCCTGACATACTGTGTATATGCGATATCACCTCGGTGGAAGCGGACGTAAAATACAACTAACTAACAACAACTGTGTGTACAAGAAACCAAACTGTCCCCTAAAAACAATGACATCTAAATTGACAGCTACACAATGTCGAGGCATGATCGACCAGGTGTAATAAAGGGAGGTGTCGGTAGGCTTGCTATCTATGTAAAAGATAATATCCCTTTCAATCCACTGAAAGTAAGTCAGACAAATAAAGTAGAAACTATGGCAATAAACATCGCCATCAGCAATAATCAGTCTCTAACTATAGTTAATATTTATAATCCAACAGGCACAAAAACAAAGACGAGTGCCTATGATAGGATTATTAAACAAATTCCAGGAGAAAACATTATCATTTGTGGGGACTTCAAACGTCACCATAGTACTCGTACTGATAACACCTAATGCACCAGAGCTCCAAAGCTATAGACTAAATTTATCTCAGATAAAGTAGCCTAGCTAAGACTTCAAAAAGACTTCTCAAACCCAGAAAGACCACTAGATACTACAAAGATCATCTAGTCCAAAAATAGATTTAAGGTTGTCTTTGTTTTTATTTTTATACCTTCACAAGGTATAAGGTTTATTTTCTTTATATTTTGCATTCTTAATTTATCTTATTTTATTTTACTTTATTTTCTTTAATTTACTTTATTTTCTTTTCCTTACCTCCTTCCTCAGTGCTTTATTATTAGGATATTGTTAGGATATTATTTTTACCTTATTTCTATATATTAGATATAAGCTAATTTTCTTAAATTTTCCTTCTATTTCATATTTCTCCACTCCTAATCTAATCTATTTTTTTGTTACTTCTTCTTTTTGCCCCTTTTTTCAACTCTATATACCACCTTCCTGTCTTTATTTATTTATTTAATTATTTCTATTTTTCTCTATTCTGTATCTATTTAATCATTTCACTTTTCTTTCTATCATCTACTAACAAAGAAGCTCAGTGTACAAGCCAATCAACTGACTGAACTCGTCACAAGCTTCTTAAAACAATAACAAGCTAATTTATTTCTATAGCTAATAAGCCTGATAACTGTTAAGTACACCCATACAAGCAATAGGAACCCACAGTTAATTAGTATTAATTACACTGATTGACTAGTGCTTCTTTGTGGAAAGGGGTAACAACAGGTATATCAGCTTACGTCATTAATTAACGACAGAATACATCCTTAACCAACACTGTTCAGTCACTCCTTTTGTTTTCGATTTTACTTTTCGGCAGCATAAGAACGATGGCGACAGAGGCTAGCTCACCCATGTCAATGGCTGACGTTTTTAAAAGCAGCCCTGCACCAAAGTTCTTTCCTGCGACAAAAAGGAGAGAAGAACAGACCCACGTCGTACTTGTGAGGCCACTGGAAGGTAAGTCCTTCCAAGGAGCCAAACTTACGGCCGTGGGGAAGGAATTGAAGAGTAAGTTGGGTTTTATCAACATACCCGACATAAAGATCACAGTGCCGGAACATGTTAGACTTGCCCTAAAAAGTAGGTCTGACATGGACCTAGCGCTGGCCCAGAACCTACTTTTCGGTATGACCGTGACGGTGTCCGAACCGATCACCTTGTCTATTGATAAGGTGGTTGTTCATGGGATACCGGCCGAATATACCGGGGAGGAAATTCTGGAAGATCTTACAGAGAGGGGGTACCATGCTACCGAGGTATATCGGTTTAATGTGGCCCAGGGGAAGGATCAGGGAAGCGTTGCCCTATCCTTCAAGAAAGGTACCTCAACCGCCGTACCCACCCCTATGTTCAGAGGGTGAGGCAGTGCGCCAACTGCCAGAAACTGTAAGGGTGGCTGAGTGTAGGGCAGCCACGCAGCCAACTCCCCGCAATGCCCAAGAATACAAGCGACCAAAGCAGCGCTACGTCTGCAAAGCAAAGATAAACTTACCTTTAGGGAGGCAACCCAGCAAGTAAAGAACAAGGAGAGAGAAGCAAAAGTAGTCAGAGAACCGGTGGTGGAACCAAAACAAGCTCTCGAGAACGACCTATGCGCACTGAACGACGAGAGCCGTACTTTTGTTGGAGGAAATGCCCCCCCTTCACACCTGGATCTCACGCTCTGTACGCTTGGTATGGCAAACCGCTGCGACTGGCAAGTACACGAAGATGAAACACTTGGCAGCGACCATCTACTGATAGAACTCTGCATCCAATGTGAAACAACCAGGGAAGTCTATAACGGGAAACCCAATTGGAAAATAAAAGAGGCTGATTGGGCTAACTTCCTTGTAGGCTGCCTTGGGTGGAAAGAAGAAGACATCATCGATGCCAACATCGACGTGTACGCAGCCAACATCACGAGTGCTATTATAGGAGCCGCAGACGACTCCATTCCCAAGACTTCTGGAGAGCAATCAAGGATTAGAAAACCTTGGTGGTCACCAGAATGTCAGAAGGCGGTTAACGAAAGAAAGAAGGCACTACGCCTACGGAAACGCCACTACAATGAAGTCAATCACCAAAACTACCTGAAGTTGAAATACGCCGCAAGAGACACCATCCGGAAGGCACAAAGCGAACACTGGATGACATTCTGTAATGCGTTGAATCAAAACACGCAAACAGGTGCCGTCTGGAAGAAGCTGAACGCCATGAACGGGAAGCGCAGATCATTCAACATACCAAACCTAAAGAATGGAGATGAGTACGTTACCAACGGCAATGAAAAGGCAGATCTACTTGCAAAAGCTTTCGCTGACGCAAGCAGGGACGAAAACCAATCACCAGAGTTCCTGAAGAGAAAGGAAATCTTTTACTCACAGCACCCTTCATTAGAAATTGAACCTAATGAAGGGGCTAAACCAATCAATCTACAAGGCTCTTTCCCTCAAGAAGGATAGTGCGGCTGGTGAGGACAAAGTAAAGTACTCGATGCTCAAACATCTGCCTAGAAATGCCAAAAGGATATTACTAAACTTCTTCAACACATCCTGGCTGGCAGGAGAGGTACCCAAAGAATGGCGGAAAGCCAACGTCATCCCTCTTCCAAAACCAGGTAAAGAGAGAACAAAGGCAGAGTCCTATCGACCAGTAAGCTTGACATCCACACTGTGCAAAACCTTGGAAACAATGGTTAACATACGACTACAGTTCTATCTGGAGAGCAACCGACTGATCGACGAAAATCAAAGCCGATTCAGGAAAGGGCGTTCAACAACGGACCACTTGGTGAGACTACAGCAAGTCATGTCGCAGGCACTCCTCTCTGGGAACCTGTTATGTGTCGTGTTCGTAGATTTAACTAAGGCTTTCGATTTAGTCTGGCTAGACGGGATGCTCTTCAAGTTAGGACGTATTGGTATAACGGGCATAATGTTTC